CACCACCTCCCCATTCCACTTCTTTCCAATATCTTCGACAATAGTCACTCCATCTATTTCGGTTGGTGAAAATAATGGAAAAGACCAGTGTGACTGTTAATCCATTAGGGGTGATTATGGCACAAGAATTGGTACCAATAACATGCAGGAAAGGAAAAAGACCAAGGGTAAGGAAACAAGAGACTTCAACTTTAACCTCAAATTTTTTTTCAAGAAAATCAATTCAGGAGGAGAAAAATCCAACCCAACAACAGGAAATTGATATGCCTTCTTTGTATTTTGTGATTTTGAAACTTAATTTCTTTTATATGGTACAGTTAGAGTTGCAAAACATTTTCAAAAGCTCTGCATGGAAAAAGATTAGGCAATCATGTCCATGTCTCAAGGAGAGAGGGGAAATATGTCTCAAGAATTATTGAATCAAGTGTCATACTTAAAGATTTTTTCTTTATATTTCAAGTTCCTAGATTTTCCCATTAGGTTTCCTCAGTAATTGAATATGCACAATGCAACTTATAGATGGTACACAAAATGCTAAGAATTAAGGTTGCCCTTGGTTTTCTATAACCCTTGCAAAATATGTACCTCTTGTTGCAAATAATGGCTTTGCCACTATCTAAAAAGCCAACAAATAAGGAACAAGCATAAAAGAGAACTCTTCTATCCTAACTGGTTTTTATGCACACTACCTCCTATCTTGTTTATAGCTAAGTTTTTAGAAATTTTGAGGTATAAAATTGCTTTTAATAGTAATAATTGAAGTATTAGAAAAATAAGACAATTTCCTTTAGCAGTTTTTCTTTCTCATTATAAAAACGAGGGAAGCAATTTCTCCATGAATTTTAATAGTATATTCAGTTCATGTTGGCCTTCTATCTAGAGAAAAATTGAGCGAACATCCATTATACCCAATGTAAAGTCCTTTTGTAAAAAAAATATGTATATACAAACACAAATAATTGCATGTGAACTCTGGAAATTCCATTTCATTCATTGAACAATACAATTGAGGATGCTAATACATAATCAACTTTTTGGATCCATCTTCAAATCCATATAAACCCTAAACCACCAATCGCAATTCCTCACACCCTAACATATGCCAATAAAAGAGAAGAAAATAAAAAAATAGTTATTACCTGATGAGGAAGAAGCTTTTGGGTCAATAGATCAGAAGCCGATGACAGAGAGAGGAGCTGCCGAATATTTGTTTTATTTCTCCCAAGAAAGACTTTCAAAGTTTTTAGGTCGATTGGATAGAAATAAAGAATTTTGCTATTTATACTTGCCACGAAAAAGTCTACCAAAGTCTAGCACTTACATTTTTTTAGTACAATCATTGACATTTTGAATATTCCTGAATTTGTTGGTTTTTAAATAGTCTAAATTGTATATCACATATTTAGAAGTCTATATTGAATGCCCGAAACTTTAGATTTTAAAAAGTCTGTATTGAATACATCTAGAATTTAAACTCCACAAAACTCTTTAAAAGTTTTAATTAAATACACCCCCTAAGACTAGTGTTGTATTTATGTAGTCAATTCAGTTGCACATATTCCGGCTAAATGCATGTTTGGTGTAAGTTACAAACAAGTAATAATAGTAAGCAAGATGCAAAGACTTGCTTGAAGATCGGACAGATTTCACACTATGTATGTTTGCTGTATTTATTGTAGGGTTACCATAAACTTTTATACATATGCTTTCTCTCGTGTTCTGTTCCCATTTTCCTCGTGCTGGATTGGAGAATAAATAGATTTATGTTGTAATTTGCTGAATTTAAACAGATGCCATATAACTGGTTTCTAACGTTCCATTCTTTTTTCTAAAACGGGCAGTTGCTAAGCTTCCTATCGGAGATTCCATCTGTACGCGTAATAGTGGTATGTCCATTTAGAGCTTTTGTGGAATTTTTAGTCAATCTCATATAATCATAGTGCATGATTTTCTGTTCTGCTAATGTTTATCCCCCTGGCATCTTGAATTATTTAGGTTGTGGGAGGGATAGATGAACATCTCCCATCTCTACCTTCAAGATCGGGAGTTAAGCTGATATCATACTCAAAGCTACTTGGTCAGGTATTTGTAATCTTCTGAATAATGGATTATGCTTTCCTTTTTCTGTTAGTGTTTTATGATGGTTGTAACTGTCATAAATACCTTTTATGATACTGTTGTCCATGACAGTTTCTCAGCCATCATGGAAATGAATTCAATTGATGAAGTTAAAAAAAAAAATCCATATTGACATATGTAAAAGTAGATATGATTGGACACGCCTTAATGTGTTTAAATTATAAAGAAAAAGAGACGAGTTAAAGCGTTTTTAGTTGACTGGAGAAGGTGACATTTAATAAGTGCAATGGTGTTTGAGAGATTCATCTAGTCAAGAAGAGATATGTTAGATAAACTTTCATACTGGAGATCAAGAGAGAGTTGGCAGGAAAATTTAATAGGACATTTCAGTACTACTGGACATTTATCCCCTTCGTCCCTTGAGTTCCATAAT